TATAGTGTGGGGTTTTTTCTATATCCTTAAATAGAGAATGTCTTCTTAGGAGACAGAGAATGTCTTCTTAAGGGGCACTTAGTGAATGAATGTTAAGTGAATGCAGTGGAAAAAGTTTAAGGACCAGGAGTCTTAGCTTCTAGACTGTCTCTCTATAATGCCAGGGTGGTCTTGAACTCCTGGGTTCAAGTGGTCCTCCTGTCTCAGCCTTCCAAGAAACTGGAACTATAGATAACACTTCTTGCCATACCTGGCCAGAATTTTTTTTTTGGTACTGGGTTTTGAATTCAGGGCCTCATGCTTACTGAGCAGGTGCTCTCCCACTTGAGCCACTCTGCCAGCCCTCTGTTGTTATTTTGTACTCTTACCTGCTTTAAGCCACTCGTTTATTCTGTGCTTTAGTCCTCTCATATAAAAATGAGGAGGTAGGACTATATTATCTCCGAAAGTATTTGTCTCTGATAACTACGATTGGAGCTATTGAAGTGAGAATTTTTATCTAAGAGATGTGTTCACAAGTTGTTTTTCATTTAGCAGTCACTTTCTGACAATGACAGTGTTTCTTTATGATTTTATGTATATAACCCTGAAATTTCAATGTGGGTATAATACCAGAAGAATATAATATCTGTGATTTTTTTTTTCTTTTAATAGTGTGTAGATACTGGTTCTCCACCTATTGATTGGGACTATAAAATGATGGAGCTTTTGTCAGCTGTGGAAAAAAGTCAAAGCCCAAAATGTTACAGGATGTTTTTTTGTTTTCTGTGTATCACAAGCCTTATTGCTGAGGGTGATAGAGCTCATGAGTCCTTGATCAGTTTCTAAGCTTCATTGTCACCAGGTTAGTTTTCACAGGTGGTACTCATTTAAAAATCAAAGTTTTGTTTCCTATTCTTCAATTTATGCTGGGCAAAGCACTTTTTTTACTAGACCCTCTAGACTTAACCATCAATCTCTAGAAAGCAAATTCAATCACTATCTCCAAAAAGGGAGAAGATAGTTATTTTTAAATCCTCAAACAAGCAAACACCCAACTCATTCATTTCTAAATGTAGAATATCACTAAGGTAACACTCTGCAAAGCACCAGATTTTATTGAAGGATTTCCCAGATAAGAATTTTAAAAAGGAATTTATCTGTGTTGCTCCTACTGAAAAATTACAGCAATAACACCAGGTGTTATTGACAATCCAAACAAATCTTCAGCTGTCCAAAGAAGTTAGAAATTACACTGACTCATTTTGGGACCATAAATGCTGACGAGAATTTGTAGTTTGTGACTAATGCAAATCAATATTTCATCTATGTCCCATTTACTTTGCAGTTTGGTTTGAGCAGGTTGCATTTAAGATCTTGGGGTGCCCTGTGGGAAATATCCCACAGGCTTTTTGGAACCTTGGACCCACTGCTCCTGTGAGCTTCCTAACAAGACTAGACTAAGGCACACCAGTTGTGGTAATGATTGGGGTCTTAAAAGAGGAGCTGCAGAGTGGTAGCAAGAGAGGTGCCACAGCCTTCTTGGGGAGAACCTAAAGATAGTTTCCAGAAGAGACTAAAATCAGTATGCTATCTTTCACCAGTGTCCCTTGGTTGGGGCCCTAATGCAAGAAGACAGTAATAATCCATACTAGTATAGGCTACTTGCTTCTTTCCAGAAATAGAAGAGTGCTTCCTAAGAAATAATCTATATCCATTTATATTTCTGCCACTTCTAGCTTTTTGTTCTGCAGCAGTTCTTAGTGTTTTCTGTGTCTTGGCCCTGAGGCTTGCCTGTTAGGCGTGTCTGGGATAAGAATTAGTGTATTTTCAGTTTGTACAAAATCCCTGGCCTAGTATGAAGCACCTTCTTTTTGGAAGGAAGATAACCAGTAAGATCATCTAGATAATGCTGTGGGAGTGAAAGGAAACCTCTTTTGTCCCCAGCTGAGCTGAACTCATTTATTCATTCTTCAAGTTTGTAATGTTTTTAATCAAAGTTTCTAGTACTGAAGCCCTTAAGCAGTTAACAACTAAACATTTCAAGCCTCGTGGGCACTTGTCTAGATGGAGAGACAGATGTACCTATAAACAGCAAGGCAAACTATTTGTTATGTGGACAGGGTGCTTTGGGAATGGGAGCAGAGATTTCTTAGCAAGAGGTTCTGGGGAGATATCATGGGAGGGGAAATGTGTTCAAGCTATGTTTCAAAGATTGGGTAACATGGCTTTTTGATTTTAAGTTCCCAGATGCTTGACCCATTTCTTCCCACCCCTGCTTAAGTTATGCTTCCCAGAGCACATTAGCATCTTTTATAGTTGGTACTATTCTTGTAATGTACAAAAAACTCATAGCATTTAGCATAACCCCAAATGATGTGTTGTACTGGCTTATGTAAGATGACACTGTAGTACTACAAAAAAAAAAAAAGAAGAAGAAGAAGAACAGTGGAATTGGAATCAGAAGATCTGGGTAAAAGTCTTGGCTTTGTCTCTGAAAAGATGAATTCCTGTTCCTGTGTGCCCAAGACCTGAAAGGTCTATAGCCCTGGGAAGGTATGGGAGTTGACCTAGGTACTAAAAGAGAGCCATACTGTTGGATGACTTTGTAAATACCTTACAGTGTCAGCTCAGACTAACTAAACCTTGTATGCACATATTTGCGTATTAAACAGCAGTTATTTGTATCTTAACATCCTGTTAAATGAAGCAGCAGATTCACATTAACACAAAGTCCTGAAAAAGGTACAGTGAGCCTGTGGGACATATGACCTTATACTCTGTTCTTTAGGAAAATGCTCCCTGCATTGTTTCCGTTGTTCAAATTTGATAAGAATATCTACTTAATTGCTTTTCAGATGAAAATACAACTCTGAAAAGAAATCTAAAATACCAACTTTTTAAAACTTGAGTTATATTTTCTTCTTCCATCTGCTTCCTGCCAAAGGTAATGACTTGTCCCCTTAGAGTGAAGACATTTTTGAGATGGAGTTAAATATTTGAGAACAAGGTTTGCCTCTCGTTCCTTTGCTGTGTTCTGACTTATGAAGAGACCTTATCATCCTTGCAGCAGCCTCCTCCGTATGTCCTCTGTTGCGCCTTGGATGCTCTGTGCAATAAAAAGATTAGCTAGTAAATCTTCCTTCTGGCGCAGCTGCCTGCCCTCTCGCTGCTCCTACTGATACAAGCCACTACTGTGTCTCAAGCTTGCTCACTTAAGGGCACTGCTTTTACAAAATATTATAGGCTTTTTAAAAATACAAGTTACAGGAGGATTTATGGTACAGTTTTAGAATCCTGCATTCTACGATGTTCTTATGTACTTTTTATTTTTTAATCTGAGCATCCATACTGGATCTCATTTACTTTTTAAACCATATTCATTTAGAGCTTTCTGCCTTCTGTCTTTTATCCTTCACATAGTTTGCTTTTCTCATCTCATAGTATATGAATATTTATTTTAATTTTGCAAGAGGGTTTTCCCTCAAACCCTGTAATTGCTGTTGAAAGCAGCTGAGTTATATTCATCCGGTGGCATTGAGTACTTCCTGTCATTGATGCTGTGGTACCCACCTACTTGGGGGGCATGGGACTTTCTGATTCTCTTGTATCAGACAAGTCAAGTGGTTTACTATCCAGCCTTACGCAAGACTTAATATGATGTGAGCCCTTTTTTGTCTTACTCATCTTTTAGTAACTTTGCACTAGTTGTTTTCCTTTTGTCATGTTGCCTATGATGTAAAACCTCATGGAGTTCAGTAATAAACAGTGCAAAAGAGCTTGACTGTCTAGAATGATGAGGAACTTTAAAATTAGCCCTCTAGTTCAGTGATTCTTAACCTTATAATTATTAGTAGTACATTAAATCAGTCACTTTCTACTGACAATTAGGAATGAATAAATAAATGAGCCTACTTAAAAATTTTTGAGAATTGTATGATTTTTCTTTTCAAAAAAAGAGCTACAGACTTCTTTAGGAAGAAGGATAATAAATGGCACAGGAAGGTTTCTCTCCACTTTCCCCACAAAAAAATTAAAAGTTTTGGAAAGGTATTCCAAGAATGATTGGGTTCTCAGAGGTTGGAAATGTTGAAAAGAGAGAAGTCTGACGTCCCAGGCTAAGTTGCCTAAAGTCAGAAGGACCCAAATTCACATGCTAACTTGGATTTTTATTAGTTTTGTACCCTTTTACAAGCTATTCATTCCCTTTGAACTTAAGCATCTTCATCCACAAAATGGGGATGGTAGGACACACCTTGTAGAGGTGGTAGGAGGGCTCCATCTTGACAGTAAGTTGTCCAGTGTTGGGGGCCACAGTGGCCTCTGTCAGAATGAGCTCCCATCTCCTCACCTCATCAGCTCCCTAAGCAGTGATTCAACTTCTGTATGCCTTGGGCCAGTACTAAGGCCATTACCTCAAATAGCTTAAATCTAACATGGCATTCTCTAATTCCTAATTGTATAAGTCAGTGATAAGATTAATAGGCTCCTGCTGAAAGACTTCTGTGTATGTTGAAGGCATTCCATCTGAATTATTCCTGTCATTGTATTTATCCCTCTCTTTTCCCTTTATTTAAAATGACTCTAAAGTACAGAATGGAAAATAAATAATGCAGATGGTTTTTGCTTACATGAAAAATGGTTGCTAGGAATTGAAAACTAGGCTTCCACAGGAGAAATCACTGTTTTCAAGGAGACTGGTTGCAGCATACTGCATGAGAATAATAATGATGATAACAGCATTACGGTGTGCTGGTTCAGCCATGTCAGTCTGTGAAGTGTAGGTAGGTGTTACTGTCGTTCTGCAGCCGGAGCTAAGCACAGAGAGGTTAATGGCATTGCCGTTTGCTCTGCTACTTGCAAGGAAGTAGCAGAGCCAGGATTTGAATTTGGACAGTCTGGCTCCAGAGCCCATGCTTTTAACCACTGCCTCACACTAGGAGGACTAGGAGAAGGCAGTCCTTTGGGAGTAAATGACCCAAAATGGTAGCAGGGTTGTTATTTTAAGATTTGCTCTACAGGTATTCTGAGAGGAGCCTCACAAAGTGCATTGGAATCACTATTGAAACCAGACCAGATTATTGCATGAAGCGCCACTTGAGTGACATGCTGACCTATGGCTGCACGAGGCTGGAGATTGGGGTGCAGAGCGTCTACGAGGATGTGGCCAGAGACACCAACAGGTGAGACGGCAGCATGTGACCTTGCAGGGCCTTCTTCTATGCCACTTCATATTCATGATGACCCTTTCCTCCTTGCAGCCATCTCAGAGGAGATTCAGGAGTCCTCCTTTTTAAAGCCTTGCTTCTGTCTGTGCTCTTCAGTCCATCCCCTCTCTATGGATCCTTTTCCAATAGCCTATTAACATGGTCATACCACTCCCTGTCCTTGTCACACAGCCTTTCCTGTATAGGAAGCAGGAAACAGGACTCAAGGTAGTAGTGTAAAACACGGGAGAAGGCCAACAAAACAAGCACAAAGAAAAGAGTTTTTGGATAAGAAGAAAATCAGACTGGCATAGTGGCTCACACCTATAATCCTGGCTACTCAGGAGGCAGAAATCAAGAGGATTTTGGTTTGAGAACAGCCCAGGCAAAGAAATTTTTAAGACCCCATCTTAATCAATAAGCCAGGTATGGTGGTACATACTGTGGTCCCAGCTATGCAGGAGCCATAGGGAGGAGTATCCAGGTCCAAGGCCAGCCTGGGCAAAAGCAAAAGACCCTATCCAAAAACCAACTAAAGCAAAAAGGGCTGGAGGCATGGTTCAGGTGGTAGAGTGTAGAGCACCTGCCAGGCAAGTACAAGTCCCTGAATTCAAACCCCAGTTCTGTCAGAAAAAATAAGTAATAAAGGAAATCAGGGTAAGGTTTGAAAGGTTTGTTTTGTGAAGCAGAATTTCATTGGCAGGGAAGTGAGAGGAAGTTTGGTGAGGCCATAGGTCTGAGCGGTGAGAAATGAGAACGTGTAAAGAAGGAAAGAGTTAAGGGTTGGTACCGTCATCAAGTTCTCCTTCCTCTAGAAATATGTCATTGCGCTGAAGAGAGAAGATTCCCATGGAGGGGTAAAACTGTTAAAAAATTTATAATAACTGTCAACTGACCTAGGGTCCATGGGGGAGGTGGAAGCTGTTGGCACCAGGCTTCAGTCATTAGTTGCCATAAACTGTTTGTAAAGCTTGCTCCCTACTTGGTTGTGACAGTAGGATGCTAAGTTGAGAGGACTTATTCACAGGGCCCCAAGAGTCTGCCTTCTCATCACATCGTTCTCCCAAGGACCCCCAAACACACCAGTGAAATCTACTTTTCATTCTTCCTCTCTCTCGTTCATAACATTTTTGTTTTGTATTTCGTAATATTTTTAAAGGAAAGAGTATAGAAAGCTGTGACTTCTGTGTGGTTCTGAGTTCGTTGTTCTTGTTGAACATGGATATTTACATTAGTAAGCTTGTTTTGGCTGAGGTGAGGAATCAAATAATTGTTATATATGTTAATTGCTTTTACTCCAGTCATTTATGGCCAGAGCTTTGAGTGGGCACACAGGGGACTTCTGAGAAATATCTCACAAGAGAAATGATTTACTTCCAGACCTCCTGCGAAGTAGGGATGTGAAAAACAACTTTCTGAGATCTTTTCCCCCAGCTGTATGATTCTTGGTCTCACAGTTTGTTTTCCTTTGCTCCTTGTGTTAACTTTGTTGTCCATTTATTTGTGTAACAGGTTTTCAATTTTATTTTTCTTCAGGGGCCACACTGTGAAGGCAGTATGTGAGTCATTCCACCTGGCCAAAGATTCCGGCTTCAAAGTTGTTGCTCATATGATGCCTGATTTACCAAATGTGGGACTAGAAAGAGACATTGAACAGTTCATAGTAAGTGCTTCTGCATGTTTCTGACTTCTCTGTTCTTGTTGTTTGCTTACTGTTATCTTCTCCATTATTAAAAAGGATTATAGAATATTAGAAATGCAGTAACAAGAAGTCACCGTCAGTTCCAACGACAGACAAAACTTTTAATATATTCTTTCTAAGGTTTTTTAATGCTTAGGCTTTGGGAGGGTGAGGTTGCTTTATGTACATATAACACAAGCACTCCTACATATGTATAAGACAGGTCATTCTTTCAATAGCTTTCTCATTTAACAGTATAACACATTACCAAGTATGGTGGTACATACCTATAATCCCAGTATTCAGGACGATGAGGCAGGAAGATCTCCAGGTTGAGGGCAACCTGGGATATGTGGTGAATTCGAGATCAGCCAGGCTATGTGGCAAGAACATATCTCAAAAAATAATTAATTAATTAATTAATTAATTTTTAAAAGTCTTACCCATTTTGTAGCCAGGTCCTTGTTTAAAAAAATTGGGAGGGCAGGGAGTGTCTTCTTTTGGTTTTTTTTGTTTGTTTGTTTGTTTGTTTCTTGTTTTTGAGATAGGGTCTTCAATTTGACCCCAGGCTGGCCTCAAACTCACGAAGCTCCTACCTGAAGCTCCTTACTGCTGGGATTGTAGATAAGCACCGCTCTGCCCAGCTAACTTTTTCTGTTTAATTTGAGTTGTTGTATTTGCCTTTACTACTTCCAAATTTTTCCAAATTTAAGATGTAACCAGTTTTTGGTATTATAACTAGTACTGTAGGTAAACAACTTATGGCTATAACTTTTTGTAGTATTTAAGTTTCTCTAATGGTAAATTATTTGGTAAAGATATAAACATTTTCAGAGTCTCATTTTGCTACTGAGTAGCAATTTACACTCATTTTAGCAGGACTGTTTTTTTTCCCCAAATAATTCTCTCCTGTTTATTTTGTGTAAATATATATACATACATACTGTACACATACAGTATTTTAGTCTTTACTAATTTGAGTTTAAAAGTACCATTTGAATTACATTTCAAAATTGTAGTCTATTTTTCATATTTCTGTTTACTAATTTAATTTCTTTCATCTTTTAGAATTGTGTTTTTATCCTTTGATCAGTTATTCTATTGGGTTATGAATACTTGTGGTATTAATTTAAGTCAACCTTTTAGATAAGGCCATTGTGGGCTCATCATTGTTTACATTTGTGTGCATGTTTTCCCCAGAATATTGTCGGCCTTTTACATTCACTCCTGATGTCACATAGATCCTTTTTTTCATGCTAGCCTGTTTTCCTCTAACCTTTGAATTTTAAGATTTAACTGTAGCTCCGTTCTTTTGTTTTATAGTTTTGAAGGATGATTTTTTGTTGTTATTTTGTTTCGTTTTGTGGTGCTGGTGATCAAACCCAGGGCCTTGGGTGTGCTAGACAGGTACTACACCATGAGCCACACCCCAATCCCTTTTATGTCTTCTTGATGCGTCTAGCTTTGTCTGGGGAAATGAGTGTGGTCAGGTCCTTTGGCTTCGGATTCTCGCTGAGGGGAAGTATCTTTTAAGTTTATCGTTTTAGAAGGAAACATGACAGTACTTACCAAGATATTTCATATGTTAAAACACCTATTTTCCTGTTTAGAAAAATGGAGTTCACCATGCTTTACTTATGAAGTTACTGGGGTTTTTTTTCCTTCTTCTAAAAAAGTTTATTTTACTGTTTCCAAGCTTTTGAACTACAACTGAAAGCCTATTTATAAGACATCATTAATTCACAGATTTCCCTGTTAGTAATTCCACCATTTGGGTTGTGTAATAGATTTTTGTGTCTGGTGGTGTTTCTCAATAACAAATAGCCAGGTACTCAGACACCAAGCCTAAAGGTGCTTGAAGCACAGCTCCTATGTAAAATAGTAGTGTAGCCAGAATTCATAAATTTTTAGTACTCTTGAAAAATATGGTATGTTTAATGCCATAACAGGTAATCACAAAATAGCTGTATCTCACTATCCATTTTCCTAAATGTCTTCAAAATAAGGAATACTTCAAAAATAGTACTGCAGAGACTGTCCTGTACACAAACAGGTATCTGCTTATTTGTAATCTTTTCAAAGAAACCCACATGATAAATTTTTTTCTAACAACATCACATAAAAGACTGACAGATCTGAAGTGAAAAAATCTGAATAGTCTATAGAGAAGAAAGTCTCTGCAAGTTAACTTATAAATTGACTTAATTAAAATAAATAATTTTTACAAATCAGTAAGAGCAGGCTGCTGAGTAGGAGAATGGACAAAAAACTAGAACAAGTATTTCACAAAAGAGGATACTCAAATAGCCTTTAACAAGCCTAACAAAAAGTTGGAGTCTTCAAATTAGTGAAATTTTTTTTAATGTACTACTACTGTACATTTAGCCAACAGAATGGCTAAAATTTAAAAAGACCACTATCAAGTGTTGGAAAACTATGGAGGAACTAGAACTCTTAATTTAGTGCCAGCAGAAATGTAACTGGATACTTCTATGTTAGAAAACTGCTAGGCAGTCTGCTAAGCTGAATGCTACCCCATGGCGCATCAGATCTACATGTACAACCCACAGAAATACATACATACATTTACCCAAAGGCATGTCCACAAATTGCTGTTGGTAATCATCAAAGTGGGAGCACCCCACATGTCCACTCTCAGTACAGAACATACATAAATTTTGGTGTGACCGTGTGTTGAAATGAGAAGGAACCAATTATACCTTTATACACATAGTTGATTCTATTCAGTGTAATCCTGAGCCCAGGAAGTCAGATCCAAAAACTAACATGCAGTCTCATTTACATGAACTTAAAACTTTGGGCGGAATTGTAACTGGAAGCAGGTATGAGGTGGACTTGTGAGAGTCTGATAATATTCTTTTTTCTTGACTTGAATGTGTGGTGCTAGTTACATGCTTTGTGAAACAAAAACAGCTGAAGAGGTACACTTATGATTCGTGTACCTTATTGTGTATACTTTAAAAGTTTATATAAAAGTCTCAAAACTATAGTTTGCTTTGAAAATCTTATTTGGGCCTGTTTGAAATTCACCTGTCCTGACTTAGTAAGCACTAGTTGTTTCAATTGAAAACCTTATTTGCCCTACACATCTACCCAGAAGTCCTTGTTAACAACCACAGTTATATTTCCCTTAACATATTTTGTTCCATAGAAAGGATTGCTAAATTGGATTCTGCTTATGTAATTGCAAAAGTCTACAAAATTTTGTCTCTGTAGAAGATAGGATTGCCTTGCCTGGCTGGATCCATAAAGCCACTCTCCAGCCCTAAGGTAGTCCAGCCATACCCCTGGGGTTTATGGCTACGTAAACTCCCATAATTATAAATTGACTTAGATTTTACACTTTGTTGTGTAGGTCAATTCTTTGTCACTAAGAGTGTGATCCTGTCATTTGTGTCTGTTTCTTGTAAATTCATATTTTTTTAATTGACATAAAAATTTTATGCTTTTACAGGCTACCAAGTGATGTTTTGAGGCATGTATATATCGTGTTCACATCAGAGTGAACACATCTGTCTCCTCAAGCACTTAACACTTCTTTTTGGTGAAATCATTCAGAATCCTGTCTTCTAACTTTTTTGGAATATATAGCACATTGTCACCTTGGTATATTATAGAACTCCAGAACTTACTTCTCCCATATTCTTAATTAATGCTAAGTGCAGAGCTCATAGATATGTGTGACAATCGTATTTACTTGTGTTTTCTAGTAGCTCAGTTTTAATTTTGAAGCGAAGTTTTCTTTTTTTCTTACAAAGCTGAAAGTCTGCCTCTGTTGCGATGGTGAGTGTTGAACATCTTAGGAATTTACCCTGTAAGCATTAACTTCGCCCTTCCCTTCCATCGTCAGATAGGACTTACTTATTACTCAAAATAACTTTGTGTTGTTTTGTGGTATTTTATTCTTTTAAAACTTAGACTGCTCCTGAATGTCCAGGCTCTGATAACTGAAAATTCTTAAAGACTGTCCATTTCTTTTAAGGAAAATTTTGTCTTCAGAAATCTCCTCTCAGTAACTAGAAATTTTTCAGTCTGTTAATGTTTGTCCTGCCCTTTTGGCACTCAGGAGTGTGTTCTTCTCCACTGAGTAATTTTTCCCAAAAGCCAATGTGCTTAAGTCAAGGTTTGGCAGGGGTAGCTAGACGTGTGTGTCATTTGTTTTGCTTTTAATGAAAAGGCTTGTCACTTAAAGTGGTATCATGGAGTACAGGTAGATACAGAATGATATCAGAAAACACCACCTGGATAGCTTCTGCTAGGAGGAAGTAAGGCCTGCTGAGGTGAATTCATTGCAGAGTCAAAGGAGTGTCAAGCAGAGCCCAGGCCTGTAGGCCAGCCCTCTTTCTCTCTGACCTTTCTGGGTTCTCATTCTTAGGGAAGGAAAGTCTGTTTTACTGTGAGTAATGTTGAAATCCACAGAGAACTCTGGGCATAAATAGTCAAAATGGCTTTTTCAGAAACAAAACTTCAAAACTCAATCTTGTAGTTTTCATTTATATCAAGTAGAACATGCGTGGCAATGAAAGTACAAGCATACTGTAGGCCTGTGTTGCAAAGGCAGTCCCTTGTGTGGACTTCTGTTCATCACATGTAGTCATGTCACTTACAAACACCCCAGGGCTGCTGCCTCACCTTCCACTTCTTCCTCACCTCCAATACCACATGGCTTCTACTCCCTCGGGAAGCACCTCTCAAGTGTTACAGAATACCTCCCAGTCTTCAGGTCCAAAGGACATTCTGCTGTCATTTTGTTTAGTCTTAGCATTTGTAATTGTTAAAGACATCTCCATGTGGAACTTCTCACCTTCCTGCCTCCTTGGCCTCATCTCTTGGTTCTCTTCTTACCACTAGGACTTCTTTTTGGTCTCTTCTTTCCACCACTTAAACATAGGGTTCTGTCTTTTGCTCTCTCCTATATATTAACCTTTCTCCCATTGTTCTAATTCCATTGTGATGAATTTCAAATTTCTCTCTCCAGCCTAAAGTCCTGGGTTCCAAAGACTAGTTACTTGGTACTCTTCAAGTAGGGCAGATGCCTCACAGGTACTTAAACTTAAACAATCTTGATGTGCCCCCAGTAATCTTTTCCTTTTATATTTCTGTCTGCTCGGTAATTCACCAGCCACCTAATCTCCCAAACCAGAAATGCAGGACTCATTCAGGAGGAGGTAGAAAATGTTCAGGCTCTGGAGGGAGACTGTACCTAGTTTGAATCCTGGCCCCACCTTTAGTAGTAAGCTGTTTGACTGTTTTGTTCCTCAGTTTCTTCATCTCTATTATGAGGCTCACTAGTATCCAGCTGTTAAGAAGACTAGCTGAGATAACACACAGAAAAAGACCTGGCACATAGGGAATGCTTGGTATTAGCTGCTGCTATGAGAAGGTCCTGTTGGTTACTCACAGTGAGCATCTTTCAGAGCTGCCCTCCTCCTCGTCCCACTGTTACAGCTGCAGTTCACACGTTGCTCATCTCACCTGCACAGTCACTTGCTTACCAGCTACCTGCTGCCAGCCACATTCCCTTCAAATATGTCGCTCCCACTGCCAACAGAGTGCTGTCTATTAAATACATTTTTGTCTTCATTATACAAAAGCTATTGCATAATAAAAGCCTTATTAAACAATATGTTAAAATCCAGTAGTGCTAAAACAAAGAGTCCTCTGTCACTCTCAGCTGTCATAGTGGGGTTTTATTTTTCTTTTATAATATTTACCTCCATGTTTCTTAATCCTGCACTTGGATTGCTGGTTCTTGATTTATTAGTTTTAAATAGATTCATTTGTCTTGCCGTTATGGTAATTAAAGATTTAATTCTTTTATCCTCTCTTCTCATTCTCCCAATATTTTTATGTCACTGTTGTTAGTTATACTACTTGTCATTATGTACCTTATAACTTCTACATGAGTTATTATTTATACAGAGTCAAATAACATACCATAACTACTTAAAATATAAATCTATATACTTAACCAAGTATGACAGGAACATCTCTTATCTTGAATAACCTTGTCTTCTAGAGTTACCAATGCTTTTTTTTTAAATTATTTGCTCAGTGTTCTATGTACCTATAACTTCAAATGCACCCACTCAGTGTTAAAGACCCTCTCTGTGGGCTGTCTTATCAGATATTCTTACCAGTTCCTTTTTTCAGCCTAGCGACCTATCCCAGAGGTCCTATCTTCCAGCTCTAACCTGGACTGGAGTTCTTTGTTTCTTATGCAGGGTGTCTTCTTGGGTTTTCCTTTAGGTTTTTGGTCCTCAGGTTAGCTTCTTTATTTGTTTACTTGTAAAGCACATTCTCCATTAGCTTCCTAGAAAAGGATTCATCCAGGAGGTAAACCTTTTGAAAATGTCACTGTTCTACCACCTTCATACTTAAACAATTTTAGAATGAAAATTATCTTCCCTCAGATTTTTTTAAAGGAATTATTGTTTTATAGCTTTTAGCACTGCTCTTAAGGAGCCCATTATTGTTCTGATTCTTAATCGTATATTCCTTACTCCTAATCCTGTAACGTACATACCCTTGGGAGGAGTCCCCTCAAAAATTTTTAGGATTCAGTTTTTCTAATAGGCTGTGAAATTTCACAGCAGTGTATCTTGGTAGGTGGTTTTTTTATTAGGTTTGCTAAACATTGAAGGACCCTGCCATCTGAAAAACCATAGTACTTGTGGATGATTTTCCCCCTTTCATCATCTCTGTTCTCTTGATAAAGTTCCTGTTAAGCAATGTTGGCTCTCCCAGGTTGATCATCTAGTATTCTTACCTTTTCTATTTCCCATCACTTCTCTTTCTTATTCTGCTTTCTTACTATTTTCTCAACTTCATCTTTAACCTTTTTTTGTATTAAGTTATAAAATAGGTTTTTAAAAAAAACTTTTATTTTCCTTTATGCAGTACCTCTATTTCTTTTTTTTTATTTAAAGCACAAGCCAAATGTTTGTACTTTAAGAGTGATAAACTGAAAAAACAGATTGCAAACTAGGCATCGGTGGCTCACACCTGTAATCCTAGCCACTCAGGAGGCAGAGATCAGTAGGGTTGCAGTTTGAAGCCAGCCTTGGCAAATAGTTCGTGAGACCTTATCTCAAAAAAACCCTTCACAAAAAAAGGGCTGGTGGAAGTGTAGACCTGAGTTCAAATCCTAGTACCAGAAAAAAAAAATTGCAAACTCTGTGTACCTATCTGTTGGTATCCTGCACTAAAAAATGACCATAGAATGAGCGCTCCTTTAGGAGATTCCCAAATATCAGTATTTCAAACTCATATATAGGGCCTTTTGATTAATTCAAAAATGAAATCTCCAACTTCCTACTTGGTAGTAGGTGGCATAGGTAGATCACAAGGAATTGGCTTCTGCCACTCAGGAAGCATGGCACGAGGTCCACGAGTCAGCATGCTGGTTTTTCCCTGTTGTCAGCCTTGGTCCTGACCAGGCCTTCCTTTGTGCCTGGAATTTCAGAGGCTCTTCAGTTTTTCCAGGGAATGAATCATCCCATAGGCCTCCAAAGGAAGAAGGGATAAATCCCTCCATGTGCAGACTGTTCTAGCATGCATGTCTCTCTTGCATCCTGCCTAGTTTTTGGTCCTTCTGATCCATGAGACTCTGGGATCCTGGTTTGATTGAGCTGGCCTTTCATTAGTATCTCCTTCTGTAGTTTTCTTCACTTGCAAAGTCTTTTACTGCTCTTGCAGACATTTTCTGTTTTCAAAGAACTTGTTGCCATCACTTGTCCTCCTTATCTCCTTACTTGTTCTCTTTGTTCTTCTAAATTTATACGTCTCTAAAATCTTTTCAGTTATTTTATTGTGGTTTTGGAGGAAAAGAAGAAAAGCACATATTTTAATTCTCTGTGTTTAATCACAAGTCCAAATCCAGTTCAGTCTATCTTCATTCTTACAAGACTAGTAATCAGTCTACATGTCTGGAACCAGAGTACTTTTCTGAAATCTCATTTTCAAATGTGGATTCAGTCTAGGTGGAAAATGGCTTGCATGTATATCCTTTATGAGTGGTTAGAAAAAAGAACTGATGAATCCTTAAAATATAAATGTTACAAGGAAAATCACACAATTACAAAAGAATATCTCTAAGACCACATGGTGCCCAAAGAATACAGCATTTAACAATGTGACAAATCAATGAGATTGAAAACTCTATAGTTACATTTCTTTAAAAAGGAAGTTAAACAAAGAAAAGCCTTGCAAGAATAATGTAGCAGAAGATTTAAATTTTCATTTATTTATTTTTACATTTCCTAAGATGGAGCAATACTGACCAGATAGATACTAATCTATCTAGTGGGGATAATCTGTGGAGGTTGGGGTAAGAGAAAACCATATGAGTCTACCTCCTTCTGTCCAATACATGTAATGCAAAATCAAGATTAGAGCAAAAGATCAGTGCAAAGTCATGGAAAGGACAATACCAGCATCACTTGCTGCATACCAAATAAAGAAATAAGGCAGCCAGCGGGGACTAGGTAAGACAAAAAATAACTGTGCCAAAAGTGGATGAATTAGATATATTGCTCAGTGTCCAGATAACAAATGGACATTGTGTGTCCCAGATGAGAAAGAATGCCAGTTGGCCTGAGGACAAAATTGTCACATCCAGAGATCAGCAAACTTTTTCTGTAAAGGGCCAGATCGTCAATATTATAGGTTTTATATTATTTTTTTAAAAACAATTAACTATACCATTATTAAAGGAGGTAAAAATCTGGAGTTGGGCAGCAAGTGCTGGAAGGTCAAGACTGCCTCTCTGAATAGTGGCACCCAGGCTGAGGCCTGAAGATTAGCCAGGTGAAGAAAATTCAATGGACTTCCCTTTGTGAAGGGAGAAGGGCAGTGTGGTGATGGGTGATGAGATCAGATGGCAGCCACAGACAGGGTGGATGGAAGGCATTGTAGGTCAGCACACATGTGCTTTGTTCCAGTAGAACTATAAGAACAGTGAGTTTGTGTTCTCTCCATGCACCCTACCTTGGCAGAAAGGAAGGACAGCCTGGGGCCTGCTGGGGTTTAAGAGAAGCTGGCCTAGGATTGAGATTTCACCATGCATACATAAGTAGCAGAGGAGTAATTTTTTTGTCCTTACTCACAGGAGTTTTTTGAGAATCCTGCTTTTCGTCCTGATGGGTTGAAACTCTACCCTACCCTGGTGATTCGTGGAACTGGGCTGTATGAACTTTGGAAGTCAGGAAGATATAAGAGTTACTCTCCTAGTGACCTGATTGAACTGGTGGCTCGGATCTTAGCCCTTGTGCCTCCATGGACTAGAGTATACCGAGTACAGAGGTAACATGTTACCTTTTATTCCCAAAATTACTGGTGGCTAGTCTGTCTGTTACGATTTCTAGTAGGAAGAGTTTGATTTCATATTGAACATTTGGAAGTTTTCTTACTTAAAGTGGAATATCTAGAATGCCAGCTGCAAATAGTGATGGACAATGTGTTATTGATAATAGAAAACAGTAAATTCTGAAAACAAGCAAAAATATTAGCTACTTATGGAAAAATTATTGAAATATAAAACAATAGATTTGCTTAAAGGTCAAAGGACCTTTATACCATATTTCTGCCATAGCATATTGAATTTTAAAAGTTTATTAGTCAGTGGCCTAATTCTAAGACCTAAATGGCCTGTTTTTAAAAGTACACTAAAAAAATTGCTTGAGATATTGAATAGAAAAGTCAGCTGTTAGAATTGTTTGCCTTTTCTTCCCCTTCTTTGTCATTCCTTCTGGCACAGCCCCATCTAAAAGACACTAGATGGGGCAGAACAATGTCAATGTCCATATGGAAGGAGTAGGGAACTGCAGGGCCCAGAGAAGCTGCAAAGGTCATTCGTGTGGAGGTGGCAGAGACTCTTGAAGCCTGAATGTGGTGAACAGGACGTTCATTTCTGCAGAGAGTGATCTGGTACAGAAGTCAGAATGGAGCAAGGTGTGGAGGTTGTCTCTGGTGTGGGAAGGGGAGCAGAGAAGAGCGGACAGCAACAAAGACTGGTTACTTACAGGGGGATTGATCTAATCAGTAGATATGCTAAGCATAATAGGTGCTAGGGTTTTTATATGAGAAGGCAATTACAGATGTAAAAAAGGAAGAAATTAAATTGAATGCTGTGATGTTTTAAAATAGAAGATAGTAGTTTGAACTCATGATTCTTAGCATAAAGGTAGATATAGAAATAAAAGTCCATGTAACAAATAACAATAAATAGCAGTGAGCACACCTGGTTTCCAGATCTTGATTTCTGTGTTACTTTCCAATTGCTATGACAGATAAGAATACTTGAGAGAGACAACTTAAGGGAGGAAGGATTTATTTTGTTCACAGTTTCAGAGGTTTCAGTCCCTCATGACAGGGAAAGCAAGACAGAGCAGCTCACATCATGGCAGCCAGGAAGCAGAGAGAATGCCTACATGGCAGGCTTTATTTCATCCCAGACCCCCAGTCAATGAAGTAGTGCCATCCACTCTCAGGGAGCTTTCTCCCCTTAGTTAATTCTCTCTGGAAACACCCTCACAGGCAGACCCAGACATCTACTCTACTGATCTCCTAGGTGCTTTTCTGAGTCCAGTCAAGTTGGCAACCAAGATTAACCATCACAGCTTCTAAGTACCCTCTGCCACTAAATGGAACAAGGGCTTCTTGGAGGAATAGCTGATTGCAGGTCTAGAGCAGGAAAAGTACAAGATGAACCTGGCTATAACCTTTTGTGCCAGAAAGTAAGGAAATGGTCAGAGAAGGATGAGGAAGCCAGGTTAAAGGACTTCCATTGGCCAAACCTGGGCCAATTTGAACATAAAAATAAATATTGATATTAACAGATTATAACCAACTGAATAAAATAGGTATCTGTGAGTCCATGCCCATAATCATAATTAGATCAACAAATTGTAAGAATGATTTAAGAACAGAATATCAATAGTCTTCCTTATAAGCAGATTCTATATTTGCAATTTGCCTGCTTAAAAAATTAGTGACTCAAAAAATCAGTATTTGTGGCACTTTGCCACAAATCATTTTTAGACATGTGAAGAACAGTGAAAAAGTTTGAATCACCCCACCTTCTCAACTGAGGTCAAACAAGATGATCCTCTGCCTTTTTGTAGCTTTCACATTATAAACCAGTGTCCTTTTTGCAATCTACTTAAGCTACATTAAAGAAAGTTTTTTGTATTCCATTTGTTAGGGATTTGCTCTTTAAAATGACCCCCAAACATAGTGCAGAAGGGCTGTCCATTTCTCCTAAGTGCAAGAAGGCTGTGATGTGCATAATAGAGAAAATGCGTATGTTAGGTAAGCTTCATTGAGATGGTATAAGTTAGGACTGTTGGCCATGAATTCAGTGTGAATTAATCAACAATGTACATTAAATAAGGCGTCTACATCGAAACACAGGTAAAACAAGGTTATGTATTAATGGCTGACAAAAATCGTGGCCAGAAGCTCATAGGAACCTAGCCCTGATTTTCCGTAGGAGCAGTGGCCCAGGGCTCACTTCTTCACTGTTGGTGATGACTTTGAAGAACATAGTTACCTACTAACTACCTGCCACCTACTATCATAACTAGAACCAGCTGTGTGTAGTTGAAGAGCATCTCCCCACAACAGACTTATTCATTACAAAGTGAGAAGGAGTAACTTACAGTGGAGAAGCCTGGCATCTGATCAAAGGAACGTTATTGGAAATAGAACAAAGCACCATCAAGTGCCACTGTGTTCTTCAACCACACTCCATAACTGGATCTGGTCATCAGGCATTAGTAGACAAACCCTAAAAATGATTGGTCTGAAAGTATCAGAATCAGATAGTGAAGCACACTAATGAAACTTGACCGTTAAATACAATACAAAGTTCTGAATTGGATCCTTTTGCTTGGAAAGACTTATTTGGGCACTGGTAAAATTTGAATGAGGTCAAGGATTAGACAATAGGAAATTATCCATGTTAATTTCCTGGTTTTGATGGCAGTTTATCAAAGAGAATATCAATGTAGAAAAAATGTTTCTTGGGTGTTGGGCCAGTTTGTTCATAACTTATTTTCAAATGGTTCAGGAAAATAATTTTTTGTACCTTTTTGTGACTTTGAGATTGTTTCAAAAAAATTTAAATTATTGCAGTAGGAAACAAGGGTAAAACAAATAGCATTACCAGAGATAAAGGAAAAAGGCCAGTTATGTTTAACTGACTTGGACCACCCAAGAATAGTGAGGCATGTCTTCCCAGCAGTGCACATGGCAGCACCTGTCAACAGAACGGACACCAATCAACTCCTGAGAACCACGGTCTTTTTACCAAAAGTAACAAGCATAAATCACATAGGTAATCAGATGAAGAATCCACACTCAGTCCCTTTGTTTTCACCTTGAAATTTCTCACTCCTGTACCAGTGACTGAAAAGCAAGTGACATTGTGTAACATCAGAAGCTTAACTTCATAGATGTCATTATGAAATATCACTGTGAGTCTTTGTCCTGGCCCAACACCAATGGAGAAAGTAAGACATGGAGGGACAGGGACAACAGATCTCATCTCTTAAGGTAAACACCTTAGAGATGAGAGAGAGGCACAGGACAAGTGGACATAAGCTTCAGGTTTTGAAGAGATACTCCATTGCTTTACAAATATGTGGATGAATTAAAACTTGAAGCACTACTGTAAAGCAAGAGGTAGTGGTGAAGTCTCTTTAAAAGTGTGGCATTAGTAATGTTCTTAGTGAGTGTGAGGACAACTTATCATTTAAAGAGAATGAAGACTCCAGTCCCCAACACAGCAGGTGCCCTGAAGAGTCATCTCAGTCCAGCTGTGATGCCAGGCCCTTCTGCCTCAGGACTGACAATTTACTGAACTCCAAAGATGATCATTTGCTAGACATTTTAGTTCAAAAACAAAAGTCTTTAGAGTGCTTCCTATATTATTTTGATTGTATATTTTTGATGCCTTAATATAACCATGATATCTTTTGTTATACAAGGAAGTTTCCATTAGAATTCATTTTGGGTTTTTTTTTTTTTTATGTAGTTTACTGTGGAATAATATTCAATAAAGCATTTGGGTTTTGTTAAGCTTGGGGAGAATTCTTTCAAATATATTATGTTATATTTTTTAATGGATTTTACTGAACTATTACTGTGACTACCTACAAAAGAATTTATATTTACTATATTTTGCTACATGGTTCTTATCCATTTTTATTTACATATTTTCTTTGTGTAATTATTTGTCCCTCTATATCTGTGCGTTCTACGTTCATGGACTAACCCAACTCAGATGAAAAATATTCAGGGAAAAGTCTGCATCTGTACTGAATATGTACAGACTTACTTTCTTGTTGTTATTCCCTGAGCAATACTATGTAACAACTATTCACAGCAATTTCATTATATTAGGTCACAGGTCATCTGGAGATGATTTGATGTGTACAGGAGGATGTACATGTGTATAGTGCACCATTTATATGCGGGTCTCAAACATTTGTACATTTTGGCACCTTCAGGGCATCCTGGAACCAATCCCTCCAGATGCTGGAGGATAATGGTCCTCCATTAAAATGATTAAAATTTAATTTATACTGTAACTTACCTTTTGTTCTCAATAATCACTGACATTTTAGATATAGCTTGTACAGGCTAAGGTAGTGCACGAGATTTCATTTACCAGTCAGTGTCTTGTGTCATAAGTTTCTCCTGTGCATCACTGTTCAGTAATTATCTCTCTGTTTGCTTTTTTTAATCATATGGTTTTGTACTTTGTTTCCAACAGAGCTTGCAATATATTACTAATATCCAGAACTTATGTTTTCTTCTTCATTTCTAGTCATATAGTGCTATATTTATATGAATAAAATAATGTTTTCTCTATTAAACTGCTTTAAAATCCTTTCAGTTAATAATGAGCTTAACATTATTTTTCCAAAAATTTCCTTGTTCAGAATGCATCTTTACATAGCAGTCATGATGTGAATGCAGATATGATAGCGTTTTTCCATTCCAGTTCTTGTTAAAAGATACGTGTTAAAAGAAATAAGTCAGGTACAGAAAGACAAATACTCTTACAGGAATAGAGTAGAATGATGACTTCAAGATGAGGGGGGAGTGGAGAGAGATTAGATCAAAGGAATATGTTTTGGTGTGTTCTGTTGCACAGTAGGGTGACTGTAGTTTTTAAAGGTTTATTTCAGGATAATGAGAGGGTTTTAAAGGTTCTTATCACAAAGAAATGATAAATGTTTGAGGGGATGGATATGCCAAATGCCCTGATTTGATCATCTCACAGAGTAGCCATGTGT